CCCCAAAACCCCAAAACCCCAAAACCCCATATTCCCTCCCAATATTGATTTATACTGGGTTTAGAAAGTCTCATGCTTAACAAGAAGGCTAAGATTTTCATTAACACTGCTGGTGGATATCTCCTCAACATTCTTCATTAGTTCATTCTTCGGGTTTAGCTTTCCAACTTGGTAGATTGACATTTCTTTCTCATCTTTTCTGCTTTCAATGTCAATCCATTTGCCGTATTCTTCGACTGTTTTGACCATGGCCTCTAAGCTTTGCTCGTAACCTGTGTCTTCTTCTTTGTAGTCAATATCAATGAAGGTCTCTGTTTCATCTAACCTGTCTTGGTACTGGAGCATTGCCATTTCGAGTTCATTATTTTCTGAAGCTTATGTTAATAGAGTAGTAGAGTTGGTCAAGCCCCCTCATCATTTTCATCATTGAAGGCTTTCTCATGTGCCCTCAGTTTGAAGTGGTCTGTCTTGGTTCTGAACCAGCATTAATAACATGAGGATTGATCAATCTAAACGCATCAATAACTACCTTCCCTTTCACGCTTTGGATTGGATCAACTACGACTGCAACTGCTCTATGGTGTAATTTCTCAAATGAAGATTGGGTGTTTACATCGACCATAGAAAGCCATCAGTCAAATCCTGGATGAGAATGGTACCATCCGACTACAACTTCATGTCTCCCAGTGAGTTTAAGAAGCTCTATCATATTAGTTTGGTATTCAGGATCTACTGCTTCTACAGAGACTCCTGTTCCTGACTGAGGCATTGCAAATACATCTGTTACTTTAATTGTATAATCATCTGTGAATTCTCCGAGCATCAGTCCCATCACTTCCATGGGTACTCCTGATCTTCCGTGCTTCAACATTTTGAGTAAAGCTAGAGGTGATATATAAATTGTCTCTGCTGTATCTGCTATAGGAACTGCATCCGAAGTGGTCTGATGAGAGTTCCCTAAGAGGCCTCCCATATTCATTAGATTTGAAAAATCCATATTTATTCAATATTCTTATTATTTTTGGGGTTTTGGGGTTTTGGGGTTTTGGGGTTTTGGGGTTTTGGGGTTTTGGGGTTTTGGGG